TGTAGGTTTTGCTATGACCTATCCTAGGTTTTCTGCCAGCCCGATGATTCACAACCCTTTCTCGCCAACCACCCACATTGATCACAACGCGTTGCCATTTGGTTGGTCCCGGCCGTTGCCTAACAAGTATCGTGAAACAGTCATAGGCCCTCGTGAGATCCGGGTCTTGGCCAGGACGGTGACTAGAATCGGGCTGGATAACTGTCTGTGTATGTAGGACGAGACTGTGCAGACGGGGAAACTGACAGAGGGCCAAGAGACATGTCTCCGGAAAGGCCCTATGGTCGATGTCTATCTCAAGTGATTCTAGCGAACTCTGAGACTTTGAAAGAATAGTAAGTTGTTCGGCATTCAAGACAGGGCGATGTTGGCGTAAATTGTTGGAGATATGATGATTCCGAAAGACCAAGCTGGTTAAAGACTGGGCATGAACCAGAAGTGCGTCGATGTGAAAGAGTTCAATGAAGCAAGTGAGGTTCAAGGTCTGCAATGCCCTAATGTCTTCCTTGATGAGGGCGTATAACTTCTCGGTTGCACGCCTCGAATTCTCATGTTCGATGGCCTCGCTGTAATCCTCGACATGAAGGTGTTGTAGTTGAGCAAGATCGGAAAAGGGAACCGATTCGAGGAACTTGTAGACAGGTATCATGAGAAGTGCGAGAGACCTAATTCGAGAAAAGTCCCAGTGCAGTTTGACGTCCTCCGCGTCATGCTTCCAGTCATAATTTTTCAACATGAGGTCCTTGAATGGCGGCAAGCGCTGATTTTCTTCGAAGATAAACTGTCGTCCTGGAACTCGCGGAGCTCGACTACCCATGTAGTGGAATGTTTCCAGTATCGGGGTTCTCAAAAGAAGCTTCTTCAAAATGTCCAAAGCCGATTCAGAATGGAGCACCTGTGTAGAGCCCATCTTGAGAGAGACCAAAGACTTGCCGAAGTCAGTTTTCGGTGGAAAACCTCCAAGGTTCCAAGCTTCATCGATTGGATTCGTCAGTGTGAAGTTGTCAATGTAGAGCCTTGCATTGCCCTCCCTCAGGTGGACTTCCATGTCGTAGACTTGTTTCCAGGGGCATATAGGTTCCACGCTACGACCAGGCGAATAGGTGTACTTTACTGACTGAAGCTCTTTTGTGTTGGCCAGGAAACGCTTGATGTCGTCCTGCTTGATGTCACCTCCGATGAAAAGTTGTCGAGTATATGTGAAGGCCTTTTCCTGGCGACGGGACAATATTTCTTCCGGATGTTGTTCGTCAACGAGGAGGTCCAATGGGACTGTACGATAAATCATTGGCGTCACAATATCGTTGAACCTTCGACAGACGCACGCAAGTGTTGATAGGCCTGCGGGATGAAGCTGTAACGACAGGATTAGATAAGCCCCATGCCAAGTCATCATAGGCTTGAGAGTAAACTTACTTTTTGAAAGACAAGTAACAACACATCAGTGCAGAGATTATCGAGCCTCAGAGAGGTATTGTAACAAGGGAGGCCAGGTAAGGCGAGAGTACTGCACGGTTCCTCCATCTAGAAAAGCGTACCAACAGAAGCGATGAAAAAGACAGCTGATCCTCGGACGTGAATCGCTATTAGGAAGCAAAGGTCGTCTTCCCAGAGAGAGATACAAAGGGGTTTACAAGGGAGGCTCTGGCTGACTCCATCCTTATTAGAGACCGAATGTATGATGGGGATGGCCCGACATTATACATCTCAACCGTTGGGCTATCCTGCCAGTTTCCGACAAGAGAAGAAGAAAGCAAGTTGAACAATGAAGAGACCCGACACCCAGCACACGTCAATCTACAATGCAAACGCTTTTCTGTGAACCCTGTAGTTAGCCCAAGCCACGTATGGAGATGGGATTCATCAGAAAATTGGGTACCAAGTCCAGATTAGGCAGATTTGGGTAACTCAAACTGAAATGTAGGTCTAGTGCTGCCGTGGTGATGAAGAAGCTAGGTGTACATCACAATGTTTGTGGAAATGGAATGGCTATGAGAGACAAGAGTGTCAAGCGAGTGGTCGACATCGGAGCTGCCCCTGGTTTGGGGTAACGTGAAATGTAGAGATGGAACACCAAAACGTTGTGATCGGCGAGTCCCGAACTGTGGTTACCGTACACTGAGTGATACTGACAAAAAAGGAAGTGGCCGGTCCGGGTCTAGGGTTGGTGCTTGCCTGTTAGGGACGAGGACAACGGCTAGATGCAATTGGGAAGGACGGGAGACCAGGGGAAGCAAGTACACTGTACCTCTACCGTGACAGGATTGAAACCCAGTGTGTTCAAGTTTGACAGGATGAGGTGACTTCCGACAACTGGAACCTAGTCCTCTAGACTGACAACACGTCACTGCACCTCGGATGAGACAACATGCCTCTCGTCGGCCGTCACATTGGCTTTCTTCGCCCCTCTGCTTTCTTTCCATCATATCGTCACATTTTGTACAACTTCAATGCCTGACTTGACAAAGATCCATGAGTCTGGTCATTCGACAACCCCGGGTCCACGACCCACCCTACGCCATGCACGGCTGATGCTCGCTATCCTTTCTTCCTCCACTGAGCCAAAGAGAAGAGGAAGACCTACAGGAGTGTACACTACCATGTATGTTCCACTCCTCACATACGCTTCACGTTGGTGACCTGTTACCTGCGGGCGCGATACATCGAAGCCTAGACCCAAACTGTCGGTTCTACCCTGACCGGATGTTATCTCAACCTTCACGAGTCTCCGCAATGCCCACTGGTCTGTCAGTTTCTGACGATACGGCGTATTTTAGATGCGCCTATATTGGACGAGACCCCATTTCACACCCTCTGTTCCCCGGCTTCGGCCGTCCCTCTACGACTTGGGAGTGAAGCTGGTCTAGCTCTTGACTATTCCCGATCCCCTTCCCATGGTTGTATCGCGGTTTTCCATATACGGACCATGCGAAAGGTACATTGGTGATATGCGAGCGACCCCGAAGATCCAAGAGCACATCTGTCGAAAGAAGCTAGGCACAAAATCTCGCAATCTGCATGTCAAAGCATTCCATCATGTCTCGGATGCGATCTTCCAGACTTACCTCTTTGCTCGGCGTCCGGCAACGTAGCGTTGCGGGCATCGTCACTTTCCATACGTGTCGCCTAGCGGATGGGTTCGGGCGGCTGTTTGACAGGCATGACCTATCAAGTTGCTCAAATCTTCCTTGTTGACAGGTATCGCAACACATCGAATTCTCGCGGAGCGATATAAAGAATATACGGACAAGAACCAAAGTGTTTGGTCCATGAGACATGTACCTGCAACGGGACTCTTATCGAGATGACCCCTTCGACTACTGCAAAGCCAGGATCCTTCGGTTATCGCTCAATTTGACCTAGTACGACGCTATTGCTATGGCGGAGGCGCTTGTGGTTCGTCCGATCTTCGAAGAACTCTCTGGTGCATGGTGATCGAAGCTAGGATAGATCGATTTGATAAAACTCAGGTAGGTAGACACACTCGGCACACTTACGTAGAGTGCAGCATCCTCACCTAGCCCCCCACACCAGGCTGAATACGTGGTCGATGAAAGCTCTTCAGGACTTCATCACAGTTTCACATCACTTTCGTGGTCCTCTCCGCGCTTGTTCAGAGAGCTCGTGATTGAAGCATGTGGACGCGGTACCTGACCACGCTTACTGGACAAGAATAAGGCCGTTTTCTGTGCTTCGCAGTGGTGTGAAGTGTTTCAGGATCTCCTTGCTTCGTCTGCGCCCAAATTGTTGGTCCCCGGGGATTCTACCGTTCCGTCAAATGGCTCAGCTTCTGCGGGCCTCCCAAATGATATTACTACGGTGATTAGACGATACAACAGATGGAAGGGCAAGACTTGAGGAAGACGTCAAGTCACCAAGGACAAATGCAGTGGCGCTCGTAGAAGCATCAAGCCATTCACGAGAAATAAAGTTGGGGGGGCTTCGAAACATGTCGACAGGGGAGATGTGCCGAACTGGGATGCGCTTGATATGGAAAAAGACACGCCGTGGGGATGAGGATTGGACAGCGGATGATCGCATTGCACATGCCCAATCCTTGGGTGGTAACTCGCATGCCGCTCCTTAGACGCAGCTGAATTTGAAATGAATATACATTCGTACCCGTAAGAGGCAAACAGCTCCTTGCTAGGACAGGGTATAAAGGTAAAACCTCAAAAGTCAGAGCGCTGACAAGCAAACTAGGGGTGCTGTGGCATCACCGGATATCTTGATCGACCGACTCATGTACTCATTAGACCAGGTACGTGTGATGAAAAGGGATGAGTGTTTCAGCGAGACCACTTGATGTGACGTGTTGCTGCCTCCGTCTGCCTGCAAAAATACAAGAGAAAAAGCCAGAGGGTAGAGGATGGGATTGGAGAAGAAAACTGGAGAAAAACGAAAATGGGAGATTGAAAGAGACAAGGAAAGCAAACAAGCGTAGTTTCTGCCATATCCTCGCCCACAAGTGACCACATGAAAAAATACAGACCAAATCCGAACATCGACTTTTCCTCCCTACGTACCACAAATGCGCCGAGAAAGGGGGTCCCGTCCTCGCTCGGCCATTCGGCAACTATATCGACAGCCCAACGGACAAACACGATGCGCTCATGCAAGAACAACAATATTGGGTTGCTAACAACTCGTTGGCAAATCCCAGCGCTCTTGCTATTCTGATTCCTGCTGGCCCGCAGCAGAGGAGCAGCTTCAAGCGTCATGCTGTCGTGGACCCAGCAAACACTTGACACACAACTCAACTCTTCCCAAGTTTCAGGGTTCAAGACCCGGGAGGATCTATGCCGAGATCTGAAACTTACACTCGGGTCCCGATAGTCAGGCATTCCTTGGCAGTAGTTGAAACCAGATCGGCAGAATGGAGTAAGACATGAGTTGACAATGCGAGGCTGTAAATGTAGCGAGAGACGAAGAGCGTAGTAAATACGAATCCTCGTGAAGACTGGTTGATTGAACGTATTTGAACAATGAAAACTTTAACGCAGCTCATCACCTCGTTCGTCGTTCTGGTGCTCTTCTCCCGGAGCCGCGTCCTGTTCCCAAATCGTCGTAGCTTTCCCCCCAAGATCCCAGCCTATCAATGACGACGGGTAAAAGGAAAAAGTAGCTATCGTCATCTATTCATTCGCCGGCCCAGGTACCGTTGAATCTCATCTTTGGACCCCGGTCGAGCGATGCACATCCCCGCTACCGTACAACCCATCGTCGCTAACTGGCGTGACAGGCTCTGGTATCGAGTTGCTCGCTTTCCCGGCGCCAGCGCCTGTACCCGAACCTCCTCCAACCCCCATGTAATCGTATGCCGACGATGAGTTGTAACTGTAGTTGTCATTAATGCTTTTCCCGTCGCTCGTGCTATTGTTGTGACCACTACCGCCAAATCCAGGGTGATATGGCTCGAACGACAATCTTTCATCATTATTTCCCACATTCGTCGTGTTCAACGTTGACGGTTGTACTCGCCGCATCGAAGACGCTGAAGAATCAGGCTGGATCGGATCCCTGAAAGGGTCCTCTTCGTCACGATACGGCGTTCCCGTGTGAGACCTCGAAGGCCCCGCAGCGGCGGCGGAGGAAGATCCACCAGCTATAGACCTGGAAGAGATGGGTTCGTACTTGGAGTCGCTCAAGCCCCAGTTATCGTCAGACGAGGTAGCTGCGGCCTTGCCTTTCCCCCTACTGCTGCTGCTGGCGCCAACGCCGGCGCCCCGACCACTTCCGCTGCCGCTTCCACTCCCACTTCCACCTGCAGCCGCGCTACTACTTGCCAACCAGTCCTGGACGCCTTCATTTCTAGAATTACTCGTGCCCGCCGCCGCCGGAGGTGGCCGGCTTTGCTCGTTCACTACCGGCGCCACCGAGCCTGGCCTGCTCATGCTCTCGGAGCCGGGGGAGCCCAAGCCTAGCTGCTTCTTGGCGTTCAGTACCGCGCGCTGGTGATGGTTCAGCGACTGCTGCAGCTGCTCATTGGTGTCGATCAGGCTCTCCATCGTGTCGTTGTCGGGGGCGGGGTCCGTGGCGGACATGTACTCCTGGATACTGCGCGAGGCACTCGTGCACCGGTCCGCGAACTCTTTGATCAGGTCGTTGGAAAGGATTTCATGGGGTGGCGTGCAGGCGACTACTTGCTCGAGAAGTTTGGCGGAGGTGCGAGCTTCTTCAAGGCGGTTGGCGAGTTCGACGGGGTCTGGAAGCCGGGAGGTGTGCTGGGCGCGTTGGAAATATTCCTGCTGGTTCGGGAGCGACTGATGGTGTGATAGGTAGGGACTGTACTGTTGGGGTGGGGGTGGTGAAATGTGGTGCTTAGACGGTGTGGTTGAGTTAGTAGCCGCGTCGTGGTATCACTGAGCCTGCTACTGGATGTCCGTGGATGGAGGACAACTTACGCCGTAGACCCTGTATGCCTTTTCCTTCTCCCTTCTCCACATCTCGATAAGGAATTGCAGGTTCTCATCGTAGCCCTTTGTGTTTTCGAAGGCATCCAATGTCTCCATGAGCAACTGTCGAACATTGCCGTCCTTCCCTGACCTGAGCAGCTCTTTGGTGGTATCGGCAAACTTCTTATCCATGTTTCGCGTGAAGGTCGCAGCCGGATTATCGGCAAGGATTCGTATGAGCATGATGGCGTTGTATTGCAATGAGGGTTTAGTCCAGTAGTCACGATGTAAGTATTTTCGAATCAGGCGGGCGCATTCTGCGGCGGCGGCCGGCGACGACTCGGCCGCCTCGACGATCGATGGTAGGAAAGCGACTTCGTCACCCTGCTTCAAATCAGAAGTTGACCCTTGACATGTGCGCGTAGGAGCCTGGACCGGGGGTAGATCGGATATGTTGCTCTCAAAGCCCCTGATCCTCTCTTCCCAGCCGGACATGCAGTTGGATTTGCGACTGACGGTGCGACTAGAACAAACATACCGAGTTGCCACTATCAGACATACAGAATTGTTTCTATCAGTGTAAACGGCCCATGTCAGCGGCTTGGGCTTTCTGGGAGACAGGCGTGTTTCAAAAGGGGGAAGGGGGTGAGGGAGCAGCCTACCACACAACGGGTTGCCGTTGCCTCGGGACCATCACCAGTCGGATCGGATGTCGCGTCGTCGCCGTTTCCATTCCCACTTCCACTTCCTGCTATACAAGCAAAGGGAGATCAGCTTCAGAACATAAGATAAGCGGAAAGGTCAAGTTGCGTTTGCTACCGCACCGATAATCGCAAACCGATCCCATAAACGGTGGCTTGGTCGCGGAGACAGCTTTCTGACCAGCGCTTACCATTTGAGAATGTCGGCTTTTTCTTGATGCTGCTTAGCATCTTATTCATGCTGAAGTTCTTCATCTTGCTTGTCATAATCGCGCCCAAGCTCGGGCGGCGTCTCGAGTGTAGAGGGAGGGCGTGGACGTTGAGGATTGTCTTAAACCGCGGTAATGTCTGCCTGATGTCTGGGTACGTAACGTGGCGGGCGTGCAGGCGAAGAGTTGTGTTGTTGCCTGCTTGGTCGCGAAATTCATCAATTCGTCGAGAAATATGTGTACGGGAGAATGAGAGCTCTGACGGGCGCGCAACTGAATGAATTTCGTGGTGAACTATCGAAGCAGATGATGCAACTGCTGGGTTCCCCGCGAGGCAGGTGAGTAAGAGAAGGCAGAGGATTATTGAAGACTAACAGAGAGCGGGAGTTGAGGGGAAGGTACCTCTAGGTAAGGAACAGTGCAGTGCCTCCACGCGGTAACAAGGGTCCACGAAACGAGATCGGAGTTTACAAAGACAACGCGCGGCACTACATGCATGTAGGAGGGGTCGAGGATCCAGTGATAGGTAGCTTGGGACATCTTGGGCTGTTAGTAGACCGTAGAGGAATTCAATATCAGCCCGCTCCTGTCATTACCTACGCTACGTGTTTTCGGATCCATGCAGAAGTGGATGATAGGTATGTCGGCGTTTGAAACCAGCCATCGATGCTGCCTGCCGTGCCTATTGAACCACGCTCTGGTAGCCTTCATCGTCCCCAAAGCCATTCGGGTATTATGCGCTATATATGCAGTTGTATCAATGAAGAATGTCGTTTCAGTGAGCTGCGCAGTCTGTGGTCAATCCAGAATGATGGGCGAGCTACTCAGTACCTATAACAGCCTCTTTAATCGCCCATCCAAGAGGTATTAGTACAAGCGGCTGCCCACCTTTCTGATGGAGACAGGGAGGGTCCTTTGATCTTGGCTACTTGTGATTCAAGACTGCCCGTTTGGACCTGACCTCAAAGTGCGTAACAAGGCGTGATCAACCAGAAAACAACAAGGCTCAGCACACTCGCCTGCCTCGAATACGTTGTGGTATAATAATCCCGGCTTTAAAATACTATCCAGCCTTGGACCACATCATATAAGAGTACACTGTCCTTCAGCCATGGGAAGTCAGGCAGTGGATTTCACATATAAAAGCCTCCACACTGTAACCGAATGTCCAAGCCCTTTATACTACACAACGATGAGGCGTCAGGCTACCATTAATCACTCTGTTTTACAATGCCTCGCCAACAACGATGCCGCAAGCTCTGAGTCCCAACCAAGCGGCCGTCATTCCTCCTCTTCCTCATCAACAAGATCCTCCACGATCAAGTTGCCTCCCCTGCCCATTTTTTGAGCGATAGTAACTGACGCGGTAGGTTCAAAAACCTCCCTTGGCATCACGGACGCAATCCGGAACGCGTACTTGTGCTCATAATTTTCAGGCTTATCTGTGCTCTCTTCCACATCTCCCTTCTCCTCTTCGTTCTCAGGGTAAAGCAAATCATAGCATTCGACAAATGCATAGACATCCTCCAGTGACGCGTCAGGGGCAAACTTCCGCGTGACTCTCCCCCTTCCGGACGACTGCGACATATTAAGCGCCAGACGGACCGCATCCTTTACCGAGACATCAGGCTCAGCGGCAATAGTCGTAGCACGCCATCTTCTCCACTGCTGGCGTAGCTTTTCCTTTCGCTCCGCTGCCTCAGCCTCTTCTCGTGCGCGCCTCTCCGCCTCGGCAGCAGCTGCCGCTGCCTCTCGCCGTTGTCGTGCTCGTTCTCTATCAATAGCAAGCGACCGTTCATAAGCCGAATCCTGCTCAGATCGCAAGTTACGGGCCATATCCTGTGCCGCGCGCTCGGCGCGAACACTGTCAAGATCAGGCGCGTACTTTTCAGTCGCTCCCCGGATCCCAGCAATGAAGACGGACGGAGAAACAGGCCCTGCAATACGCCTCACGATTCCCATCCGCGTGCTTCCCTCTTTCGGCGTGAGGCACACCAAGCATGAAAACGGAAACTTGGTGCACATGTACTCCATGGAAACTTGATAAGCTTCAGAGTCCAGTACATTTCCTCCCCAGATTATGATGTTGTTGGCGGGATCGTTGATGAAGGCCACGACCTCGGGGTCGAGAAGCGTATCTTTGATGAATGAGTCGGTGTCATCGTGTTCTGGTGAAATCAGTATCGTCAACAAGAACTTGAGATCTTTCTTTGCGGTGTCCAAAGCTTGGGCATGTCCGCCGTCAAAGAAGATCAGATCATGCGTGCCATAATACTCCTCAAATTCTCGTTTAAATCGCCCAGCCGTCTCTTTGGGAAGCAAGCTCCGCCGAGATTTTCGGAATGATGCTGTTAAAGCATGGGGCCGCAGAGACTGCGGAATAAAGGACAGTATGTAGAGTAAAGGGCGAAACAGACTGGCAAAGACTCGTAAAACCATCCGGAAAGGCGACAAGAGGAATGAAATCAGTGATGGGGTTTGGTATGTAACGGGCCTCGGGGGCACCACACGCGGGGCGGGCGGTGTTCGATTCGCGCGGTGTAGCCCATGCTGGTGCGCGATATCCGACCAGACGGTTTCGTGTAATGTCTCATGCCTACCGGCAACCCTAGGAACTTGGTTCTGTGCTGCTTGGGCTTCGGCAACCAGGTCGGGCCCTTCGCCGTCGAAGAACTTGGCTATTGCTATCTGCGCCAGACGTCAGTCCCAGCACGTGCATGCAGGCATCGAAAAGCCGGGGGGCCTCTAGCCGACAATTACCTGAACATTCCACTGCGACCGTTCAAGTAACGGAATAGCATCCGTGATCTCCTGCCCGGTAACATCTGTATATTGCTGCAAGGCCTGCTGTTGTTCCGGGGACAGCTGGCCGATGTCCACCGCACTGTCGCCTGACATTGTTTGCAGTTCGGCGGTCGCGTGAATAGCTAGAGTATGAGTAGAATATCAAACCGTCACTTGCTGAATCGTGGACGAGATGGGTCGCTTGGAGAAGGGTTGGCTCCTCGACCGCGCATCAAACGGGGCAGATTTCAAACCAGCTGGCCTCGGTATGCTCGCGATGCTTGGTTGTCGAAAAAGCGACTTGTCACATATAGCTCTGCTCGTGATCGCGACTGGAGATTGAGTGAACCACGATGGAGGAATAGAGAAGAGAGAGAAAGAAAGAAAGAGAAGGGAAGAAGAAGCGGAATGTAGACCAAGGAGGAAGAGGTCGAATGGTGAACCTTGATGGTGTACAGTACCGGGCTGTAGCGACCTACAAGTACATACATATGTCAATGTCTGCGCGTTGAAGCTGAAGCGTGAAGATACCACGTCACTTAGATGAGGTCAGCGGCCTCGGTTATGTGCCTAACGCAGGTCCCTGGGCAGCGATGCACAAATCTGATAGTCGCATATCGGCAGCTGTCCGCGGTGGAACCTTCTCCCAGAGGTCCCAGGTCCCGTCGGGAATGGGGGAGCCGGGTGGAACTGAGGGCGGGCAACCGGGCACCTACCGTAGAGTCTCGCGAAACTCGCAAACTACCTTCCCTCATTGAGCGCCGGGCCTATGGCAGATCTGTGCAGGCAGCTGGCAGAATCAGGCCGGTCGCTGTGCAGTAAAATGTATGCAAGTTAGCGTGAAGGGCAATGTCCTTAAGTTTTCACTAACTGGGCGGGCACTTGCGCTGGCATATGTATGCTTACGAGGCATACTTCAGCCAGATTTCTGCCATATGCCCGGCGCTCAATGAGGGAAGGTAGTTTGCGAGTTTCGCGAGACTCTACGGTACTGCTACAACTTGGTGGAAGTGGAAACAGGGTCGCCAAGATGGTGGGAGTGGTGGGGTGGGAGCGATGGCACACTCGTCGATGCGACCGGGTGCGAGTTCCCTTCCTGTGTGGTGTCTGCCCTGGACTCCCGCCCGGCACGCAGCTGTGCCCTGTCCGCAGCCCAGCCCGCCGCCGCGTCGCAGTTCCTCAGCTTTCTTTCCCGTCCGTCGCTGACACTGGAGAAAGTGAGTGGGCACTCGTGGGCAGTAGCTACCGCTAAGGTTCCCGTCGTCACGGTCACGCATCGCCGTTTTTGCTCCGCAACGTGCTGTAGCGAATTGTGCTCGCAAAACCATCCGAATCTGACCCCCCTTGGACTCGATTCGTCAAGTCAGCGCAGCCAACCGGACCTCCCTCACCCTCAAAGCAGCCCCAGGATTGCATACGACATCTGCCAACCAGCAGTCCCCTTTGTCCCTCCGCGAGTGGCGCATTGGATCTCCAACCGGTCCATCGCGTGCCATCCGATCCGATCATATACGTCCCTCCTGTCCATCGCCAACCTCGTCAGCGTATCGTCGACGTATAACCCGGAATCTCGAGCTTTCCGCTGCTACCGCTTGCTGCCACGCAACTCTGCGCCGGCGCCTTCGCCGTTCCCTATGGGTGTCGGCTTGTCCGAAATATGGGAGAGATCCGTGAGGGTGAAGAAGTATATCCACCTCTCCGTGCTCGCTAGATGTGCTTTTGCTAAGCTGCTCTGCTGCAGGCGTTGTAAAATCGGCCTCGGGCTCGTTCATCCCATTTGCTAGTCCAATACAATAATTCACCCGTCTACACCATGGCCGCAACGCGATATAATTCGGGCGATCTCCGAAGGCAAGTCGGGTCGCCGCGTGCAAAGAACCGCGGTATGTCCTCAACGTAGCCCGGATCTCGATCTTCGTTCTATCGCAGCCCGTCCGGCGTGTCCCGCTAACTGGTTTACTGCCGAAGACACCAAGGAAACACTCTGCCGCAATGTTGTGATCTACGGACATTGTCGATGGGAGGACTCTGGGTGCACCTTCAACCATGACCAGAACAAGGCATCCGGCTCACAGACCGACCTGTAAGTTTTATCCTAACTCCGTTTACGTCCGCGTGCTGTGTCAGCGGGGAGTTATGCTCCTGGGTTTTTGGAATGGGATTGCAACGTCATGGCGAGAATATGCTTGTCTGGTGTTTTTTATTTCATTTTATTTTCCGTTGTGTCGGTGTGCCTTGTCTGTTTCTGACTTTGGTGATAGCAACTCTAATCGAAGAGTCTTCAATGTCGAATCCCCATCCTTTACGCCAGCTAACCAGCAGCAATCAGCTGGAAAGAAGTCCACCTTTTCCTCCCAAGCTGCGAGTGCTGCCCCATTCACCCCAAGGGGAGTTGGCAGTAAGTGTCCCAGGGCGGTTCTGAGGCCTATATGGATGTTCAGGCAATGTTTAACTCAACCATAGCATCCACGCCGACTCTACAGCAAGCGAATGATTCGACCATATTCAACCCAGCGGCTATTAGGGAATTTACCCCGCAAAACTACGATGTTGGCAACACGGTAAGTCATATGTGGAAGGCTGGCAGATGGCCTTTGCTCACAGTCGTCGGCAGATATCGCAGAATGGGGCACAACACGTCACTCAGGACGGTGGTCTTTACAGCGACCCTTTTTCGATAAGTTCACTGGGTCAAACTATGCCGCCGGCAGGCCAATACAACCCATACGCAAACGACCCAAACAATCTGGCCGGTGCTGGGGCAGGATTATATCAGCCCGCGGGTTTTGGCAATGGGCTGGTCCATCCACCCAACTACCATCTCTACCAACCACCATCGGAGCTGTATCGTCCAAGCCTTCAACCTTATCAGCGAACCACGTATGACTTCTTCATCCCAAAGGATAGGCGAGAAAACTTGCAGAAGAAACTGTTCCATATGCAGCAATTACTACCAAGTGAGTCCATAACTTCTTCAGTGGAGATCGGTCGCTAACCGCAGCAGATTCCGGGCTTCCTAATCTTGATCGCTGGCACTCGCTCTTCCCTCTCGATACAAAGGCTACGAGGAACTCCACTTGCTTTGGCTATCCTAGTTGGATGTACAAAGCACAGAACAACAAGAATGGGAGACACTTCGCCTTGAGACGTATCGAAGGTAATGACATGCCCAGTTTCTGGCTTTGAGAATAAAAGTTCACTAACTCGGCTCTGGCAGGTTACCGGTTGACCAACGAAAAGGCCATCCTCAACGTCACTAAGGAATGGAAAAAGATTATCAACGCAAACATTGTCACCGTACACGAAGCATTTACCACCGAATTTTTTGGCGACAGTTCTCTGATCTTCGTGTATGACTTTCACCCTCTTTCCGAAACACTCTACGACCATCATTTTCCACCAAACAACAGCCACAACAGACTACGGAATACGAACAAGATTCCCGAAAACGTTTTATGGAGCTATGTGTGCCAAATAGCAAACGCGCTGTTGGCCATCCACAATGCCAAGCTGGCCGCCCGCTGTCTGGAGTTGAGCAAGATCATCTGGGAAAACAACCGCATTCGGCTTGCGGCGTGCTCAATCCTCGATGTACTACATCATGACAGCCCCAATCGCAAAACAATTGAGGAGCTGCAACAAGAGGATTTTGTCAAGTTTGGCAGAATTATTCTGGCTCTGGCCACGAACACCCCGACGCTCAATTTCAACAACATTGACGCTGCTCTGGCTACCATTGTGCCGCGCTATTCGACACAGTTGAGGGGAGTATTGGAATGGCTCATTAAGCCTTCTGCTCCAGGGGAAACCAAGACGGTTGAGACCCTACTTGGCGGAATCACAACACACCTCGCCAATTTTGCCAATTTTGTCATGCAGGAGTCCGATGAGAAAGAGTTTCATCTTATGAGGGAATTGGAGAATGGCAGGATTGCCCGTCTCATGTTCAAACTGTCCGTTGTTAACGAGCGGGGCGATTCTTGTGGGGTGCACAACTGGTCGGAAACTGGAGAGCGCCTCCTCCTAAAACTATTCAGGGATTATGTCTTCCACCAAGTGGATGCCGATGGAAAGGCCCGGCTCGACACGAATCACTACCTCAATTGCTTGAGTAAGCTTGACGCCAGCTCCGAAGAACAGATCTTGCTCACCAGTCGCGACAATGCCACGGTTTTCGTCGTCAGCTACAGGAGTATACGACAGATGCTGGATCGTGCGTATGGCGAGCTTGGAAAGGAAAGTAAACCGAGCGCGACGGGGGCAACCATGTAAATTATAGAGTCTTTCAACTCGCGCTTTCTGCCAATGGCTCCACCTGTTCGGCGACGGCCACGGCCACGGCCAGGATCTGGATCGCAGCTCAAATGAAGGCTGAACGACAATAATGGACGTAGCAGCCCGACCAAAGCGAGCTTGACCTACCAGGAAAGCGAAGAGGAGGGATTGAGAAGAAGAAATGTGACTAAGCGGTGGAAAGTGGTTAACAGCGATGAGCAGATCATATTAGATAGTGAACTAGAAAACAGACTCAGAACACGTGCCCAATTCCGTCCCAGAGCAGGATGTGGGCTGAAAACAACTGGCCTAAGTATGCGGTGAGCCGAACTATTCGTTATCTTCCCAAGCGTCCTCGTTCCACTAGGAGATGCTGAATGAGAAAATTTGCCGCTGCTGGAGAGTTCATGGAGCCAAGGGACGTTCTTGAACAGGCATGTGTTGCCTTCTGGCTTGATTTCCAGTTAGATTCCCCCACTCGTCAATAACGGCGTTGGCTGGACGTTTACCATAACTCAGGGCAGCCAGCTGCATGTGCTTTTCCTCTCGATGTAGCCAACCCTTGTTCTTACAGTCCCTCTGGTGGGTATCGTTGGTATCTGGGGCCGACTTGTGTTCCTTCATGCTCGACACTGGGTGTTTGCTCACCCAACTCAGCAATGTTTCCCTTGTTGCACCGTCCTATCCTTGAGTGGGGCGGATATCATGACACATTGTTAAGACTTCTCTCAACCTACCAGGTTTCTGTCCTGGCGTTCCTTCTCACTGTCCTGCCCCGTTTTCCTTCGTCAAAATTGTCGTCTCGTCAATTTGCAGTATCGCTCGGTTTGCGAGCATGACGGGATGGCGTTCAGATTCCCGAAGTTGGTATGATGTTTCGAAAATGATGCAGTTTTACTTTGTCCAGAAGAGCATTCCCTTCTGCTCAAGCTTCCTCCTCCTGCTGAGCGAAGGGGTTCGCAATCACCTCGCTTCCGTCGACGGGGCTGATCACAACGAGGAGCGTACCGCGCGCAACAACAAGTCCTAGAGGACGCGTGGTTTCGTTGCCTTCTTCGTCTGTTATAGGTGCGTGGGTTAGGACCAACTGGGGCCAAAGAGAACGAGGTGCACTGGGCAGAGAAAGGCAAGGGAGGCAACAACTTACCTCTCACAGCTTCCTGCACATCATCCAAAACCAAGTTCATAAGCGCATCATATCCCTTGAGCGTACCGGTAACTGTTGTGTCGAAGACAAGGGAAGGTGTTTGTGTCAGCTTTGTACAGGGAGCTTTGAGGGAGCTCGTTGAGGGGACTCGGGGAAAAGCCATGTCATGACGTACCTTCACGTCCACCGTTGAACTTGACAGTAATGCGCTGGTCCATATACTTCTTGAGGTCGAGAATGTTTTCCTTCTTAGGGCGCTCGCCGCGATCACCGCCCTGAGCACCACCGCCTCCCTGGCCTCCACCGGCGCCGGAGCCGGAACCACCTGCTCCTCCACGGTTACCTCCGCGACCGCCCCGGTAGCCGCCGCCACCACGGCCTCCCCTATTCCCTCTATCGGCCATTGTTGTGTTTCTTTGTAAAGTTAATTGGGTATGCGCCGTGTATTGCGCTGGTGGGTATGGAAGAAGAGAGGAAGTCGTCGAAACCGAACCGATTGGCGACTGCCGAGTGCTGATTTGTGGTGTTGGTAATGTCGTTCGGCGCTGCGATTGTTGTCGTCAGGCTGGCTGGCGCTATGGGTTGCGATGGATGTCGTGGGGTTGGTCAGTCGTCCCGTCTGGGTCAGTCGCGTTTTTGGCGTCTGCATCCGCTGGCGGGAGTGACGCCTAGCTGAGTTTCTTCCACAGCTGTGCTTTGCCAAGCACCCCGCTGTGGGGCTGCCATCCGGCTGTAAGTGCGGGTAGTGTGGATCCTTGAGGTCCAGGTAGCATTCCCCAGACTGGCTGACGACAGGAGCCGTGAATCGCTACACTCCTACATTACATAGATTGAGTGGCCCAAGCTTTCTTTTTTAGCTTCTCAACTTCCCTTCCCTTCTCTTCCAGTCCAACCACAACCGGCTTGATCGAAACCTACAACTTTCTTAACTCTGCCTTCGTTCCTCGGACTTTTCTTCGTGAAGTCCAGCGCTGTAAAGCAATGCGTGTCATGAGTACCAAATTTGATGCGTTGGACGGCTCACAGACACGGCCCGCCAGCTCATCCACTACCATACACTACACTTTTGTTCCATGATCGCCCTGGTATCTTTATTTCTTTCTCTTCGGCTTCCCGCCATGTCCGTCAACTTTGCAGTGCCGTTGGGTTTTCATCTCTTGTGAGGAGCTTGTCAATATCCCAACATGTTAGTCACCTGCTACGACCTCTTAACATGGTCGGACGGCTGAAGAGGGAATACTTCGCCTGGCCATCGTTCAAGTTCTGTCTTTGGTTCTGAGCAACGGGAACAACTGCCAAACTAGTAGCGAAAACGTGGTGCGTTGCAGCAGCCGGCGTTGCGTCCTACGATCTTGGCTCTCAATGCAGCGGCGAAGGAACTTGTGTCCAAGACTGTCAGGCATGTGTGCCAAGAATCAAGAAGCGCCGTCTTTGAAATTCAGGTGCTTGACAAGACCTCAATTTCTCTCGGCAACATCCGAGAGCCATCGAACCAAGACGCACGCTCACCGGGCCAAGAGTATCCGATCGAGTTGGGTTCCATGTGACGAGATGCGATTGGGAGCTCACAAGTAGGTCCTACCAAACTCCAAGCTTGCCCAAGGAACAAAACGGGCCTTAGTTTCCGGCCGCTCGAGAATCGGTGTTACTACCTACATATTCCATTGTCGGATGCCTACACTACTTAACGGCTTGACCCCTCTATCCACTGGCTAGAAGTTTCCCTGACTCGTTGCCCCGGCTGTTATCAAACTTCGAACAAGGGAAGCGTATCCTCATTGACCTCACAATTTGCTCTCGACGATCAGACCTCCAGCTATCCCACTGCGAAACGGTTACGGCAAGTTTGGGTTCCCAATACAGGTCGAATCGCGCATGGTTCTGTACGCGCCTACCTATATTGGGCTTCCATCACCGGCTTGAACCGGCACCACTATACTACAGCAGTTCACCGCAGGCTCGCCCTGGTGATGCGGGACAGTCTCCTCGAGTCTACCCTGCCACGGCCAGGCTAACATCTGTAAAGTCGATACAAACAGTTCTCGAATAGAGACAGAACCTGGCCAAGATATATAATATCAGGGAGTGACTTTAAACCCACGGTGTCCACTCGGAGCAGTTTCTCCTTTGCTTGGTTCTGTTGTGACGCCGCAAGATGCCGGCAGGCGTACACAACGGGAAATCGGGGGATGGTTCCCCTGGACCCGGCCCCTCTAAGCGCAAGAGAGACCTAGACGACAATGGCATCCCCGGCCTCACCCGCCCTGACCGCATACCCCAACCACGGCCGCCACAGTCAGGTATGTTATAACGTGAAGAGGACAGATTTCCACCGAGCCAATACTTGACGGAGTTGCGCCATGACTTGGGCTCTTGCACTCTAAATCATGTCCCCATTGTCTTACTGATTATCACTAGGTAACACTACACCTATCAACTATCTTTCCGCTTCCGGAATCAAGACATCAAGCCTCGAACTTCTTCGTGGGGATAACTGCGCTTTCAACAAGGTCATATCCCTTATCAACGACTATGAAGGTATGAAGAGTACTCTGTAGTACAGTCTCCAGAGCTAAAATTATCCAAGGAGTTCTCAGTCGACATGAAAGCCTGGCTGCAAACTTAGGGGCCAAGCTCACCGCACCTCGTTTACTACGAGCTATGGAGAGTCTTTTTGAAGGTGAAATTACTGTTTATGCCAAGACTTCTTCCGGAATGGATCAGCCATACAAGCCTAGCTGGCTGGACATCCTCGATTTTGCAGCTGCTAATCCTGGCGAGTTCAATCTCACCACAACAACCAGTCGTGGCCGGGTCTGTCGCTTCTCTATGAAAAACGTCGATGTCGAGATCACCGAGGATGACTGGCGGCTTATCAGGTCCGGTGCTTTGGACCGTTTTAGCCTAGTTCCGCCCAAACCGTTGGAAGAGGATGACGGAATCGAGTTGGTCACGCTAGATATAGTTGAGGACCGAGTTCACAGGATCATTCAGAAGGCTGACGAGATAGCTGCCAAAGCACGGCAACTGAACTATCACTTGAGCGGCCGCAAGGCCGCCATTGCGGCTCGCTATACGTTCCAGCATTCTTCAGAACTGAATCATTACCCGAAACGCCACAGCGAGCTGAAGCCCGATCCTGATCTCCGGGCTTATTTACTGCGGCAGTTTCTATCTCGAGCTGCCCAGCACGACGAGACTTCTAATATAGGAAAATCTGGCTCAAGTCCCGCTTTTGCATCCTCTAATCATTCGCAGCTGCATTTACGGCAGGCTGTTATTGTCCGGTCACCACCAATGCCGACATCATCTGGAACATCGGCTCCCCTGCAGCAACTTACTGGCTCGATCCATATGGAGAACTCGGTGCGGCAAGATCCAGCACATCGATTTTCCTGGGGATCCGGTGCTTTGGAACGCCATACCGCTACCAGCCGATCCGGCACACGAGCTGTAGAGAACTTTGAGCGTGCAGCATCGACAAGCCCCCCTTGCGACCGCTGCCGGAGGCTACAGATACCCTGCGTCAAACATATGGGCAGCAGTTGTCAAGGGTGTGCCGACAACCGCGAGCGATGTGACTGGAAAGCAACGACGCATAATGAGATTTTTGCATTGCTCGGGACAAATACGTCCCGAGAGGGCAGGCCTGGAATAGCAGCGAAGGCGGTAGCTGACCAAGAAATGTCAAAATGCACTTCCACGAGAGCGGAAAATTCGAATGGGCTTGGTACTAGTCATCGTTTGAACATTAGGGATGGTGAGCAAACACATGATGAGGATACGGATGGGAGAGTAGGAGCGGCAGAGGATAATAGGGAAGAAATCGGACGGCGTCCCGGTTAAGGTCTTTCTGTAGGAGGGAAAGGTCAAAGGACCGCGAGCACGTCACTAAGCAACGCCTGGAAGCGACGGACTGACAAGCTCGAGTAAATGGGCAGCAGCAGCAGCAGCAGCAGCAGGGTTTGCAGAAGTCGCTAGCGCACTAGCAAGCTTAGATCGGGGTACCAACGAGAGCGCCTCTTGTAGTTCACAAACGTATTCGCGAGGAATGACAGTAGGATATCATACAAGAGGGACAAGCTATACAGAGACATGTGTGCATCTTGTGATCTTACTCGATGGCGGCAACAACATATAACACTCATATTGCGAGACTGTCCACGCTAGGTTACTTCTCTCTCTCTTGAGTACCTCTCTGATTTGCTAGTTTCTTTTCTCTTCCTTTCTTTTCGTATTATTATTGCTGCCTTTCATTTTTCCCTGAACTGCTGACAGAAGCCCAAAATTTCGGTCTTTGCTTGTTACGTTCCCCGTCCAGTACACCTAACCTACATAAAGTTGATCCGATTATTTTCCCCGTATATTCATCCCCTTCCAAGTCCTTTGGCTGCTAGACAGGTAGCCAAAGACTTAGTGTCCCTTCTCTCCGTTCCGTCGTAGGCCTCAAGCCAAGAGTCCAAATGTTTCCCTGGAGTTGTTATCCAAATAACTTTGTCCGCAAGTTGAACAAAAATTCCAAAATACCTAGGTACGCCATAAATATAACATTCACACCCTCCTAACCTCCCTCCTGAAACACGCAGTTCTGGTAGATTCACCTTCAGTTCACATCCTTCTCTCTCACTCTTCCCTTTCTATCCCTTTCCCCTTCCCCTTCCCTTCCCCTTTCCCTTTTCCGTCCCCTTCCCCTTTCCCCTCTTCGTCTGCCTTCGCTTTTCCATCTCTTTTCATTCCCTCCCATACCCCCCTCTTTCCCCTCTCGTTCAGTAGCCAACCCCCTTGGCGTTCACTGTAAACGACCCCAATACCGAGCAGCTTGGACCTGAAACCGATCCTCCATGTTCAGACACCGCGTCAGAATGGCGATGCGGATTTGCTCGTCCCGCTCATTGTCCGAGGGCGTGTAAAGCGTCGAAGAGCGGGAGCGGGTGATGAACTCGTTTAGCGCGGTTTTGCCATTGTTGCTGGGGTTGGGATGAGCTTGTGCTGCTGCTGCTGATGCTGCTGCTGATGATGATGATGATGATGATGGTGGTGGTGGTGGTGATGTTGGACGCTGGTGTTGTTTGTGGAGCTGTTGTTGCTGGAGTTGGGATTGTTCTTGTTGTTCTGGGTCTTGTCCCGGTTCTATACTTTGGTCCTGGACCTTTTGTTGATCTTCTTCTTTTTGGGGTCGTTGGTCGAGGGAAGACTGATGAGGAGGGGATCGGGAAATGGAACAGGACGGAGAGAGGTGAACATGATGATCATGATCATGATCATGATGGCGATGAGGAGGAGGAGGAGAATGATGATCAAAATGTTGGTATGATTGTTGCTTCCCCTTTCCAACTACATCCTCAGAGTGTTGGAATGGAGGAGTGATGGTCGAGTTCGATTCGAGCGAAGTCAGTGATATGCTCGTCATGGTCCCGGCAGTGGTGGTATCGACGAGAGAGTTGAATGTGTTTGCACTCAAAGTTTCGTCGGAGCTTGGAGAAGACATCTTGGAGTGGGAAGGTTTCAGGTAATGCAGGATGTAGCGGTGCGGTAGGTAGGTGGCTGGTCTGCTGGCAGCTGGTGCCCCTCTATCTGTATGTCAGGGAGTCGTGTATCTGAATGGCGGAAAACCATGCATATGGTCGTTTTTATTGGCTTGATGTTGACTTGAGGTTATCATTGCAGTTGTTTTGCAAGTTAGTTGCGAATTTCCATTGGTGCTGTAGGATTTCTTGTGGTTGTCCGCCCATCAGTGACCAGTGTCTCTTCGGGTGGTCCGACCGTTCTGGACTTTGACCTCTTATCTCGAGACTTCACTACATTTCCAAGTCATTCAAGGAAAGCGGCAATATCGATGAATCTTCCAGTGCCTGGCTGGCACTTCACATGTGCAAACACACGTGTGTAGTGTAAGCACGATTCCAAAGGCTCGTATATTGCGCACCGGAAGTTAGAAGATGGTGAAATCGGCAATTGTCCGCCAAGGTTTCTGAAATGGATTTTTCACCTCGTCCTTTGCCTATCTGGTGAGTGATGAACGTTTACCACACTTTGCTTTTAGATTATGAATTCTGAGTGTAGCGTCATACACACACCGATTGTGATGGTGAGTGGGATGATAGCGTCGTAGGGCCGAATTCTGGCATTGGAGTTCATGACATATCCCCAACTAAACCTTGCGAGCGACGCGAGATCCTGTCAGAATTATGATTGGAATCAGAACACTACGGTAGAAATGCTATCAGCGTATATTTCTCTTTCGTGGTCTATTGAGTGCGAATCTTGGTATCATCGCCCGGCATCAGGAGTCCATGGGTTCGGCAGCCCGAACTCGCAACCAGCCAAGCCGATGAACTGATGACCCACGGAATCCTTTCGTCTTTTCCTTATTGATTTTCTTTTCCCATTTTGGAAACACTCTGTCGTACTTGTCGAAACCTTATCGTAGTTAACAGTGCGAAGCACTTCTCTACTTCGTGTTTGTCTAGGTACCTTTCCCTCTGATTCCCATCGAGAGAGGCATCAGAGGGCGAGATGGGGCGTGATTGCCACAAGCTGCACAGGAAAGTAGGACACGACACCAATCAACACACGATGGTCAAAACTCACAAACTAGGACACTACGACGTGGGGCTTCGGATCCTCCAAGTAATGCCGATATCATATTCCCTTGGGATAAGGCGTATCAGTAGTTGGCTCGGCGCAAAGGTTGGGCCGTTGGGGCTGAGGCTTGTATCTAGCCACCTTTGATATCTCGCCTTCGAATCTGGGACTGACACTGGCGAATATCACGTTCGCCCTGTCTCCTGCTCTAGCAATGCCATATAGCCAGGGTGTTACTTAACGAAGGGGACAGCAGTGAAGCATAATGCACGATCGACGTGGCGTGTGTGGGCGAGGAGTGAACATCAGTAGGCCCGAGGATCATGTAATCCTCGGGTGGCACCAAAATGCCTGCAGTCGAGTATACCGGCAGTCAGTTCAGCCTGTCGTAGGAAGCTGTGTTATTCACAAAGCAGGCAAGGGGTGAACATGGCTGTGGACTTGGCCGTGAATGACGACCAGGTAATGGTCGCTTTGCGGGATGGCGGGCTTTCAAGTGATGACTACGAGCCGGTCTGGATGATGACCCGTGAGATGCTCCAAGGCTCCGAACCTCGGTCTGTCGTAACGGCAGGTGCATCAAGCCATCTCTTGTTCTCACGAAAAAGGTGGAATGGAGTGTTGGGAGTACTGTGCATGGTTTGGAGCGGGCCGTTGTCCAAACACTCGCTCATAGCTTACTACAGCTTGGGGTTAAGAGCCCCCAGCCCGGCATCCCCAGTCTCAAAGAAATATCTTTTGTCGGTCCCAACCAACGTCCCCTTTCCCTCTCGCAACCCGTGCAACCGCCATTTCCACTCCCTCACGCCATCACACATTCTCGGTGCGCACACAACCACTCGACCACATCGGTCCATCCGTCCACCAGAGTCCAGCCAGGTCTCAATCCAGGCACGCCCAGAGTATCAAGGAATATCCATCTGCATCGCTGCTGTCTGCTTCCGCATTTGCCCGCGGCCCCCTTTCGAGTGTCTTGTCAGGTATCTGGCTGGAACCTGGACTTTGCAGCTATCTGGTGAGTGACCAACTACCCCTGGCCTTCTCAGGCCCTCACACACACGTTCCCAATCCTTCCTCTTTCTCCTCCTCCACTCGACTTGCCTTTTTCGCGCTCGCTACCACTCCGGGTTTCGCTCCGCGTGTCCGTTCGCGCCTCATCCTTTCGCTCAGCCTTTTCACCCTTTCACTTGATTCCGTCTCCGTCAACCCCCCTCCTTGCCTTTTCTGCCGGTTGGGAATGCAATTGTCAATAACATAACCTATCAAGCGACATCTATATACTCTGCACCACTTACTTGCATCCACACACCCCCAGGCACTATCGAGATATCTACAATTTACACTGCAGCTTTTTTTCATGCCCCATTGCCGTCTTCAAATTTTCCGACGTCAACAACAACAACAACGGGCAACACGACCGCTAACCGCCATTGCATCCTTGGCTTAACCCGCAGATCTTTCTTCAGCGACACATCACATTCCCGGTTCTTCTGTCCATCCGAACCTACCTATGCACCAGTTGGACTGTTCGTTTCTCTTGCCCGTCTGTCGCTTGTCTTTCGAAACCGCCTCCCTCCGAAACCCACAGTGAAAAAGACAGCCATTGCACCGCGTCGGCTTGTGATCCTGCATCTGCGCCAGTTGGTTGACCTTTTGCTGCGTGGGCCTCCCTCGCCGTTGGGCCAAGCAATCTCACCGTGGAGCCGGTCGAGTTTGCCACGCGCCCGCCGCGCTCCGCATCTCCAACCACTACCACTCCCGGAAAACAGTAGCGTCCGGTAACTTTTTCTGTTACTATCTAACCCGGCAGCCCAAGGCTCACTCACTTGGCGCGTTGGTCGCCTCGCGAAACCGCGGCAATGGCGGCAATTGTGGCAATCGCTGAGCTGGCTCGGGGGCTTCTCAGTTCAGACTCGAGCTTCGTGAGCGCCGTGAGCGCGCCTACTGATGCGTCCATCGATGCGTCTTCAAATGCGCCGGTGTCGTTGAGCTCGACACCGCCAACCACGGTCTCGCCGGATAACATGTCGCAGATCTCTGATGCCGATGTTAGTGGCAAACCAGATATCGTTTCCGTACCCAGTCTAGAGAGTGCCATCCCTTTGCTAGAGAACGAACAGCAAAACCAAGCTCGCCAACAGTTGCAACAAGAACAACAAGGGGCTGGCCAGGGGATAACAGAGCCCCAACCAGACGCCATTGTTGTGGTTCCCCAACCGCCTGCGGACCCCTCATTGCCCGCTCAACAGCCTGCCCCCGACACAACAGGTCGATTTCCGCGCCGTGCACGAGGCAACAACGCCCCAGTATACAACCTCGCGAGATTGATCGGCACTTATGTGCATGGCAAACGCGCCTCGAAAGGTGACATTGTTCTCCAGAAGAAGCGAAAACCGAAAGGTAGAAAACTACAGGCTCTACTGGCCCAACAGGCTCTCGAAGCTGAGCAGGCTGCTCAGCTGGCCGCTCAGGGCGGAACT